TTTGGACCAGTTCACTGTCTACACAATTTGCACCTCAGCAAAGGTTAGACTACCCATAGCAAAGAATTCTGGCTCAGATTTGGCAAAAAGCTGGCACAGCAGGCATTCATCTGGTACTGGCGTACAGCATGTGTTCACTTGCTTTAGTTATATCATTTTGTTTTAGTTTTAGTCTTTTGGGATGCAGTGACACCCAGTCTCAGATGTTAAAAATGTACAGTATATGTGAGCTGCGTAAGTTTGGGCCTATCTTTACACACTTTTCAAATATTTTGGTGGGTCTATCTTGACCAACTTTTAAAATGAATTTAAATTTTATTTGAGAAAAGATTAAATTCTACAAATCGGGTCATTTTGAGAAAAAGTGTGTCCATAAAGCGAAATGCGAAATTCCAACTAGTGTTGAACTGACTGACCCCTGAGATCTTAAACAAGATCAGCAAGGGGGAGACTGAATGAGTTAGTTTATATGTGAAATATTATAGAACTCAGTCATGATATGTCTGAAAGGCATATCCCTTTGAACTTCCCCTGCTGTCTGAGTTTCAGTGACTTTAGGAAGGCTCATCGTCTTTCAAAATCAGAGAAAACTGAAAAGTCAAGTTAAGTAAAAAAAGTTGAATGCCAGTTAACTGGGGTTTGCCAGATCATTAAGGCATTTACCACCAGGAACCAGATAAAGAACAATTTATAAAAAATGATCATTAAAAATATTGAATGTTTTTAGTTGTTATCTTATTTATGTTTTCATACATTTGTGTATGTTTCAGAAAATATGCTTAAGTATGTTTTCGTCTAATTTTGATCTCATTGTGCAACTATTTGTGTATTTTAATTAATATTTTGAGCAAATATCCAGAAAGTAATAGAAGGAAAGCACTCACTTTTTAGAATGATAAACAATTTGCGAGCCATCATTCATATCATGGCCTTTTTACCTTTCTCATGTATTTTAGTTCAATATTTTCAGCACAGTTTATCTCAGAACATTTTGTTTGTTTTGACTGATGAACCTCCTGAGTTCACATCATTCACAATGAGGTGAAGTCGGTTTGCAATATATTGTAAGCAATAGTGAATACTGAAGACGGGACTAATACATTCTGTTCCTAATATGATCTCTGTGGTGCTTTGTGCAAGATAATCACTTTTATTTTTATCTAATATTGTGAGTTACTACTACTGACATATTGCAAAAACATTACCGTTATTCCATCCAGATGCAGCCGCAGTTAGCAACAACCGTACAAGCACCGAACTACCACTAGATGTCAGCATATCATTTATCATACAATTAACACCTCATTTTGGCAACAAGAGCAGATATGTAAAAAGTATCATGAGGAGAAGATATCATTTAATTAAGCATGTTGTTAGATGATGTGTGTACTCAAACTGTAAAAATTAAAATAATAATGTTCCCCGCATCTCAGAAGCTATCACAAAATAACCTCTAATGTTTTTAAATGATCAAGTATTTTGGTCTTTTATTTACTTTGGCGTCCTCAGTATTCAACAATAACTCTTAAAAAGTCAGGCTAAGTCTATTTATCGTTCAGCATATATCTAGGGCATACAGGACATCATCTTGGCAGTCAGAAGATCAACAATATATTCCGCTGACCAAATATTAGGTTATTTGTTCAAATCCAAGAGGGATGAAATACACAAATAGCTAATGATACTGTGGAAAAAAATCTCCACAAATGTGGCTTTTGTTTGGATACATGTTTCTGAAACCAAGCAATGCTTAGTGTTTCCACAGTGTGCAGCACATAACCAGGAGAAGAACACTACAGTTAAGAAGCTCAAAGAATTATGCACTGTAAAAACAAATCAGGGTTCCACACAATTCATCCATATTGTTCCAACACAAATTAAGTTAACACTTTTTACAAATTTATGTGGATCGAACATATAAAGTGTCCCAATGAAATCTGAAGAATTGTGCTGTTTCAGCTCATTTTAAATAAGTAACGAGCAAAAAGAAATATTTTTTTGAGTGTGGTTGGTCATAAATGACAGCTCAAATAAACACGTGGTCATTTTCTGGCTCGAACTGAAGGTTTGATCAGATCTTATGTGTCTGAGACGCTGTGTGTCACTCTAATCAATCACAGATAATCCTTGATTTAAATGAGGTCACTGACACAGTACTGGGAAGTGTACAAAAGGCTTTTCTGAAGTTACAGTATTTATAGTCTTGGGTTAAATGGGATGTTGAATGTGTCTGTGGATAAATGTGGAGACCGGTGTGCTGAATGAAAATCAGAATCGTGAATTTAATCTGACGTTCTTGTGATTTTCCTTATATCCGTTTCTCTTTTTCTAAGCAGTGACTTTCATAAGTCAGCTCTGTTATTTTTAGCTATCTCCAGCCTAATTAAAGCCACCTAGACTGTCTGATTACACTTCTAATAATGCATTTTAACATAACCGCCAGGGGCAACACAGTGGCTCAGTGGTTAACACTGTCGCCTCACAGCAAGAAGGTCACTTGTTCGAGTCCCGACTGGGTCAGTTGGGATTTCTGCGTGGAGTTTGCATGTTCTCCCCATGTTGGTGTGGGTTTCCTCCGGGTGCTCCGGTTTTCACCCACAGTCCAAAGACATGCGGTACAGGTGAAATGAATAAACTTAACTGGCCGTAGTGTATGAGTGTGAAAGAGTGTGTATGGATGTTGCATGCGTATGGAAGGGCATCCGCTGTGGAAAACATATGCTAGATAAGTTGGTGGTTCATTCCGCTGTGGCGACCCCAGATAAATAAAGGGACTGAAGGAAAATGAATGAATATGACCGCCCTTACAAAAACAAGCAAACTTTGATTCACTTTAATTATATTAAAGTATGTTAAATAAATATCTAAAGTGTATTAAAGTATACTTTTGATAATATTGCAAATTCTGAACACCACTTGGGATTAAATTGGCCAATTTTTTAGCTACACTGTAATAGTAGTAAAGTGGCACCTATTATAAGTGAACGTAGACATACATGTAATGTACTAGTTCAATAGCTAGCATTTTTTGTTTAAGCAACTATACTTTGAAGTATCGTCTCAAACAACTAGTTTTGTCATTATTATTTTATCAGTGTGTTATGGTTTTCTACCAAAGGAACTTAAATATATTCTTAATGTTGCGGCTGTATTACATTTACTTCAATTGGATTTAGGACATCACGGTGGCTAGGTGGGTTGCTGGTTTTAACCCCAGCTGGGTCAGTTGGCATTTCTGAGTGAAGTTTGCATGTTCTCCCCGTTGGCAGTTCATTCCGCTGTGGCGACCACGGATTAACAGAGTGACTAAGACAAAAAGAAAGTGAATGAATAATTGGATTAAAAAACAGGTTTACTTGAATATTAAATATTCAGAATTAGGAAAATGTTTACCATCTGCTAATGAAGTATTATACAAAAGAGAAAAGGATTCAAGTCTGAAATTAAAATACTCAAAAATCCAGATTTGATGTGTTTTTGTCTGGGTAATAATTAATGAATTACAAAGTTTAAACTTTATTGTCTGTTCTGCTTGGCACAGAAGGGAAATTGGTCTGTAACACTGGATTTAAGACAACAGTTGCATACATACAACAAGCACACAATAACAACAATCATCAAGACAACAACATAAGTTAAACGTTTAAAAACCAATTTAGACCTTCAAACAGTAATCCTATTTAAGACAACAAATGCAATTGGGATTAATGAATTTTTAGAAGCATTTCTACAGGCTTTAGGAATTCTGAACCTGCGTCCTGATGGTAACAATTCAAATGCTGAGTGAAGGGCATGTGTATTAGGCCTATCTTTAAAAATCGCAACCGCTGTTTTTTCCATAAAGGAGTCAAATAGAATCTGCAGTGATCTAAGCATGATTTACAAGCTATTTGACAACAAAGTGGACTTATTAGGCTACTATAAACTCAAACATGTAAGAAAGTGTGAAACTATTCAATAAACTACTCAATCAAAAGAGTAAGAGTGTAAAAATAGGCTACTGAATAAGGCCCTAATATATCAGTGGTAAATACAGTATTGAATAGGCATTATAGTCGTCAATTTAGGTAGACTGCACGTGTATTAGTTTTCAATCAAGATTCACTCGCCATTCATAATGTTTGTTATACAAGTAGTAAGTTTTGACCGAACACAGTGTTACTCCGACTTTTTCCTCAACGACTCGGTATGTACGCTGGCTACCTGAAGGTAATGGTGCAGGTGTGTGTTTAGTGTGGTTCAAGACTCTTGCAGAAGAGGTCGCGCGTGCTCCTCCGCCACCGGGAAAATCTTGCTCCAGTCGGTCTCGCGTGTCTCACTTCTATGGAAATGAATGCCGTGTGTAGTCTGACTCGCGCCGCCGCCGCTCGGAAATTGAATAGGATATAGATCGTGATCCCGAAGGGAAACAGCAACACCTGTCTCTTCTAATAATAGCATTTATTGCTTTTATTCTGTAATCCATTGTCTCCCTGCGCAGATCACCTTTCAGCCGTAACCTTGTATTAAATGACACCCTCTACTGTTAATCAGACCTGTCATGGCCTAGAAAGTTGTGACATTCCCTAAAGGTTTGCGGTGACTGTCTATCGGCGTGCATTTGTATAATTCGCACAGAGTCGCACACGTATGTTCATTAGATCTCACCGAGCACTTTCAAACATGTCCCTTTTGTTGAGGCTAAACCGGGGTGAGCCTAAATGTGAAACTGGACCAGACGCATCCATCAGTCGTGGACCTCCATCAGCAGCACAGCTCTTGCTTGGTTAGAAATTGGGCCATTTTTATTTATACTTCCTGCGACTCAGTATGCAGCAAAACTCTGAAGTGATTTAGGGGCAAGAGAAAGTTTCAAGCAGCTATGTCACCTGATTTGGATTGAAAGAAGTTGGGGAAAAAACAGTTTCTCCCCACCCCCACAGAGAGGAAGACCGCCCACACCACAGACAGTCGGCCCGAGACCCCTTATACACTTAAAAAGAGGTGGCACTCCGAGAGCTGCGTTCATTCAGCACTGCCTGAGTAAGAAGATTACTTTTGCGCTGCTCGTCTATCTACTCTTTCTCTCTTTAAACATGCTAAGGATGCTAAAGCGTCAGCAGCTCCACCCGGGAATGATTTTATTACTCTTTTGGCTCTGTTATTTGATTGAAGATCAAAAAGTGCAAGGTGAGTGCACTTTTCTTCTTTTATTTCCTTATTTGTGTATTCAAAATTATTTTTTAAATGCTTTAGATGTGAATTTTTGGCTTGCTTTAGAATGAAAATGTTGCTTTAGAATAAAGGAGCTGCTTTAATGCAAGACAACTGTAAAGTTTTTGGCTTGCGCCTGCATTGGTGTCCTCGAGACAGGTGCGTCTTTACATGCACCATTATTTAAACAAATAAAAATACACACTGTGTTCAATCCGGAGGTAGATACGAATGTAACAGAACGTTTTATTGACCTAAAATAAGTGTTCAATATTGTCATAATTATAAGAACAGTGAGATGCATTTCTTGTCTTGATGATGGTGATAAAAGCAAATAAAATGTTTAATGGTGTTATTTTCTTGCAATAATGAAGGGTTTATATAGAATCATATTTAAATAAAGCTGCGTGTATGCATTAGACGTTCGATTGTATTTTTCCTCTAATAGTAGGTAGTGAAATTAGACACTGCCTACCTCGTCTGGCTTTCCAAAAAAATAAAAAAATAAATCACTGGACTTAATGCAAAAAAATTGTGCCATTTTTATGCATTTAATTATTAGGATGCTTTTGCGTTCGTGTCATCCAAACGACACAGTCGTTTTCAGAAAACAAAGTTTGATGGAGCTCGCGTGACTGTAAGATTTAATTGGATTGTCTGGCTCGTGGTCTCCCCGGCGCGAATGCCTAATTTAATACATAAACACGACTGATTCCCCCCAGGCTTGACCCGACAGTTGAAAGAATAAAAATACAAACATCCGAAGCGTATTCTGGGCGGCGAATAAACGCGTTTGCAGCGCTCCTGTAAGTGTGTGCTGAAAGGCGATGAGCGCAGACAGTTGGCACAGGGAGCGCTCGAGGAACTGGAGTCTAGACTGCCGTGCACATTGTTTAAATAGGTACGAGTCTGTCAAGCTGACACTTACTTTCAGACAATAAATCTCTGCGCGCCCTTACACAATCGACGACAGGAAAAGCGTATTCCCGGAGCACCTTGACTTGTCTGGGTGAAGGCACGCAAGTGTAAAATAGTCGCATTACATTGGGGAAAAAAAAAATCAGACAAAATACAGCGGGGGAGGGGGAGCAGGAGAGCTCCAGCTAATACAGGCTGCACGTGTTGTGTCTGGGTCATTGGCTTCAGACTTTAATACGACTGGCTCTTTTTCTTTTTGTTTACAGCTGGTAACTGCTGGCTTCAACAGGGCAAGAACGGGAGATGTCAGGTTCTCTACATGCCTGGGATGAGTCGGGAGGAATGTTGCCGGAGTGGGAGGCTCGGTACATCTTGGACTGAGGAAGATGTGCCAAACAGCACATTATTCAGGTGGATGATCTTCAATGGCGGGGCTCCAAACTGCATACCTTGTAAAGGTACGATCCCGTCAGTATTGAATGAAATAAAACAAAGTAATTATTACATTACAAAGTATTTATTATTACAAAGTAATCATATAAATAAAAGTAAAGCATAATAAGCAATTCCTGTTCTCCATCACATCTTTCACATACGATAATTTATAGGCTACCAAATGTATGTCATAATACATAATAATAGAGTTTTACAAACCATGTGAATTTCAGAGACGTGTGATAATGTGGACTGTGGTCCTGGAAAGAGATGCAAAATGAACAGGAGGAGTAAACCTCGCTGCGTCTGTGCTCCAGACTGCTCTAACGTCACCTGGAAAGGGCCCGTCTGTGGCTCAGATGGAAAAACATACCGGGATGAATGTGCCCTTTTGAAGTCCAAATGCAAAGGGCACCCAGATCTGGAGGTCCAGTATCAAGGCAAATGCAAAAGTAGGTAACACACTTGTCTGATGTCTTGTTTTAAGAGAGATTTTAGCACTTGTACTTAGCCCAACAGTAGGGGCTTGTAGAAAATGGAGTTCAATTTAAGAAAAATTGTGGAAACTACAAGCCTAAAAATAAAGCTTCCACAAGAATTTGTTTTAAACTTTTAGTGAACATTTCACAAATGTTCAAACCTCTTTGTGGAAGCATTAATGCCAGTATAAAACCTTTACGTTTCAGAGTGTGGATCTGTGATGTGTTATGAACTTCCTGAAGAATGATAGAATACTGTATCACTGAGCCTTCTCTTCTCATTTCCACAGAGACGTGTCGTGATGTCCTGTGCCCGGGAAGTTCAACTTGCGTGGTGGACCAGACAAACAACGCCTACTGTGTGACATGCAACCGCATATGCCCAGAGGTCATGTCTCCAGATCAGTACCTTTGTGGCAACGATGGGATTGTTTACGCCAGCGCATGCCATTTAAGAAGAGCCACGTGCTTGCTCGGTAGATCCATCGGCGTGGCATATGAAGGAAAATGCATCAGTGAGTTTTTCCACTTACATTTGGCTACAGTTTCATTTAAATAGAGAAATTGACTTCATGTTTAGTTGAGATGACAAAGTCTTTCATGTCCCAATCCCAAAAGATTATTTATTGCAAAAGTAAGTCATAGGTGTGTAATAGTTTCCTGATGCTGGCAACATGGTCTAAAGTGCTGTTTGGTTCTTAATTAGGAATTGACGTTTGCTGTCCTCTGTTGTGTTTTTAGAGGCCAAGTCATGCGATGATATCCACTGCAGTGCAGGGAAGAAGTGTTTATGGGATGCAAAGATGAGTCGCGGGCGCTGCGCAGTTTGCGCCGAGTCGTGCCCAGAAAGTCGCTCGGAGGAAGCTGTGTGCGCCAGCGACAACACCACGTATCCCAGTGAGTGTGCCATGAAGCAGGCCGCTTGCTCTTTGGGGGTTCTCCTGGAGGTTAAGCATTCAGGATCTTGCAACTGTAAGTAACACATCTTAAAAGACAATCCAATGCTGCCCAGCAACCTCCTTCCCAAAACCTCCCACCCCTCCAAATAACGCCTCTTCATTCCCTTCCTGCTGCTAAGAGTTAAGCTACAGAAAGGACTTACGATTGGAAGTTCTTTGCATGTCCTCTTTGGCTGGCTTCAATCATTTTGCATTATCTCGAGAAGAAACAAAAATTGATTTAAAAAAGGAAGCAAGAAAAGCAATGGAAATCCATCAATTGAGTGTAAACAAAAGTGGCAAAGAGCTCTTCCGAGGAGTCCTTTGACATACTAATCTTTTTCATTTAACTAACAAGACAACATGTGCGAACTAACGTTTGCAGCTAGCGGACATCGTCACGTTTGACTTGTAGCTCAGTCTGACCTGAGTTCACTTCCCACCCCCCTTTGTTTTAGTGTAACTGTAGAGACTTATATAATCACATCAGCTTGTCAATTCCATAATCATGTACGTGTTTTATGAATCCTGTTGTTTTGTTTGATTCCTGCTTTTGGCTGTAATGGATTATTACAAATGCACTACGACGTAAACCGCTCTGAGGGTCTCCTCCATTTACACTCACATAAGGTGATTGTAACATTGGTGCCGTTGTGTAAACCTTAACTAGACTACCTATTTTGACTAGCTCAGAGAACGGATTGACGAAGCTAGACCTGGGAATACTTGCATTCCAGCAGTTTGTGCTAGCGAACGAATCAAACGACCAATGTGAACGAATGGCTTACCTTAACGCCTTAAGGTATGGACGTCATTTCAAGGGACCAACTTTATGATCACCTCATGTTTTAAACGACTGCCACATTTAACGATTTGCAGGACAAGAACATGTTAATAGTAGAGCAATGCTTTCTGAATCTCTGCTGTTAGACCTAACATTAGGAAGGTGATTCTGTGTGCGAGTGTGTGTGAGTTTTGCTGTGGTCGTGTTGTTCTATATGTTTGTGAGGGACTACACATTTGTTTAATTGCTTTGCCTGTGTCATTTTTCGAAATGTAAACCTCTATGTAGAAAAATACACACACACACACACACATATATATATATTATATACCTCAGAACTGTGCCATTGCTTGACCACGTAGCTACGGTCAGCCAAAGTAATGGATTTAAATGCAAAACCAGAAAAAAAGCAGCCAGTCTTGGAATGCAAGAGCACTTTTTTGGTCTGGATTCAGCCATTAAAGCTTCTGATTGGCCCCGTCCCGTCGCACTGCTGGCTTCCTTAATTATATATATGCATTTGTTTGCATAATTTCGGCAGCCAGAGCACCTGGTCAAGCTGTCATCTAGCTTTTCTGAGGCTCTGGGATAAGAGACAAATACTCACGTACATTCTGCGCTGTTGTGGTCTATATTCATGCAACAGCTACCATGTATTCTCCCATATAGCCATTACGGAAGACCAGGAGGATGACGATGACGAGGAAGACCAGGACTACATGGCTTATGTCCAATTATCACCTGTACTGGATGGATAAAGCACCATCAACCAGTGGAACAGTCCTAGGGCGAGGAGTCATGTCCACACTGTACATATGTGTATGCTAATTTATTTTTCAGAGAAAAAAGAAAGAAGTATACATGTAGTTCAGTCTGCTTGATGTTTATTTATACAGTGTTCTGTTTTATAATTTATACATTTACAGTGTCCGGCTTACTTGTCTATCATGTTTTTCCCTTTTCTTTCTTTAGTTTTGTTTTTATATATATTTTTTATTATGACCGAGAAATATATTTGTCCAAAGAGAAGCAGTGTTATTTATTGTGAGGTAAAATGCTATCATGTAAAGTGTGAGTCTTCTGCAAGCTGTAAATTGCATTCCTTGAGCTGTACAAATGCTTATCAGTGTCAATTCTGTATCACAGATGTTTATTTCACACATACCTGCATGTTAGCTTGTGTTTATTTATTGGAAAAAAATGGAAAAACGCATAGGACAAAAAAAAAAGTGTCACTCTTTAATGTACGTGTATATTTCTGGTTTTGTTTACAGTTCAGTGTAACTGACCAAAGGGATTTTCTTAAATGTTCTTCAATGTTAATGTGATATGGTGCAGCAGGATGACATTGGAAATGTGTTGTTTCTCATTTAGAAAAGCCCTGCTGATTCTGCTGTCCTTCATAAACAGCAAGAAATGGGCAGTGGGTGATGATTGTTTCAGAAAACTGTGCCATGCAACTGTTTTTGTCTTGTTTTTGCCAATATTCAGCTCTATATTGCTCTTGCGGAGCGAACACAAGGTCAACGGAGGACTCAGTATCGATATATAAAGCGTTCACCTTTTCACTTTGTTGTTGAAATGCTTTTTTTTATTTTCAGACATCTCAAGATAAAAACGAAATTCAGTTATAAATATATAGTTTTGTATTTTTTATGTAAATGTCATATGTATATACAAAGTTTGATGTATTTGTACAGATATTAAGAGTGAAATCAATAAAAAATACTTATCAATTGGTCACTGCGGTGGATTTCATTCAAAACTGAGCTCTTTCATCAGCCAAATAGCATGTAGATGAGTTAAATCATTATAAAAGCGTGATGGTTGAATTGTGTATGATCAATGTGTCCTGTGTTCATTGCTTAAGGTAGCATTTTATTAAGATTCATTTGATCTATAATAAGATCTATACACCAGACGTTCAACCTCACCATTAGAGAGGATTAGAGCTGTGCTATAGTTAAATTGAAATAATGCCAAATATAAAAACAAACTCTGGGAAGAGACTCATAAACCTCCTATCATGCTTGTTTTTACTCAATTTGCATATATACATATATCCTTTATTCTATGTTTTTTTAAAATGTAGTTTTAGTGTGGACAGAGTTGAAGGTTGGATACTTTACCAGAGGATACCAGGATATCAGTGTTGAATGACTAAAGAAACTCAATTAATCTGCATAATTCACTCACTAGATGGTTGAGTACACAGTAAGTGTACTATACATATAGTGTACAGTGCATATACTAGAGCAGGGGTGCCCAAACCTTTTTCTTATGAAGGGCCAAATACCAAACATGATTCAGGCTAGTGGGGTGAACGTAAATATAGTTGCCATGAATAATTTACTAATTTATTTAATAATATTTGAAAAATGACTCAAAAACATTACTTTACATTAACTAAAGTATTTCTTTTTACATTTTATGATGAACTTATTACAGTAAAAACAAAATCTCATTTAGAATTAGATGGAAATATAATAAAATTACACTAGTTTTTGCCTTGATTTGTTTCTGCATAGCCCTCTATCCATTGAGAGACAGTATTTACATTTTTAAAAATCTGATTCATTTACAACAATTAATTAAAACATTTCATTTCAGTTTTTTTTTTATAGCTCAGCAATGAAACGAACAAAAAATATTATGTTTAAATGACAATGACTGTGTTAAAGGCATCGCCCCAACCCTCTTTATCTTTCTCACTCTTCTTTTAGATGGGATGGTGGGCCAAATCAAAGGTTACAGAAGGCCAACTTTGGCCCGCAGGCCCTACTTTATGAATCTCTGTTATAGTGTCATTCAGGATACAGCTTTAACATACTCAGTCTCTTCAAATGAAATCAGAAAAGAACAATTCTGCTATCAATCAAACTCTTATTAAGTAAGATGATGAAGCTGAAATGCATTTAGCCTGACCTGACATGTTAAAACATTCACATCATAAAACCAATACTCCAAACAACAATTCTTTCAGAAGAAAGTCATCTTTCAGCATGGGCCACTCTCTCCTGTGAGCCAGTGTGTGATCCAGTTCACAGCAAGAAGAATGGTTTAGTTAGTAAACTAAACTGGTAAACTTTTTGGTCTAAACCATTTTGCCACACTTGCAAACAACCAATTTATCAGTGAAATGCTTTAGATGTTAAATCAAAGTTTGATTTTGATTGTAAACAGAGAAGAATGCTGTTTTTGAAATGCTTTTCTGTAGCTGACAACAGATTTATAAAGATTTCTTCTTATAAACTTGGCAAAAAGTTTGCACGTTATAAGCAAACCAAGACGCTCCAAGACACTAAAACAACTGCTCATATGAAAAGATTACAGGGCTAACCCATCAGAGTAAATATTTATATCATTACAACAGTCTTTGAAATCTAATTTTTGTGCTAAATTATATCACATTCTCAGATGTTGTTAAAATTAATATAAATAATTAAAAAAGTTACTTGCTAGTTGGTAACACTGTTTAATACACTTGCCTATGTTAAGTGTTAATTTTGGTGAAAGTTTGTTCCTCGCCACTGGCTTGCTTGGTTTGGGACATGTGGAGCTGCGCATTGATGGATTTGCTCTTCAGGGTTTGGACTTCCAGCAGTGAATATTAAACCACACTGAACTGAACTTCAACTCTGAAAACTGGGCTGACACTGTTTCCATCTACTATAATCTTCTATGTTGAGCTGCTTTAACACAATCTACATTGTAAAAGCGCTATAGAAATAAAGATGAATTAAAATGAATTATTTTTAGGTTCCAAACCAAAACTACAACAGAACAGAAAAGGATAACTGGAATTACTTTTAGAATGATTTCTTTCTAGCAAATGGAAAATAAAATAAAATTTGTTCTTCAGAAGGAAACATTTTCATCACTGGTTAAAGGAGAGTTTACCCCCAAAAATTCTCACTATTTACTCAAGTGGATTCAAACTTTTAAGGTGTTTCTTTATTCTGTTAAACACAAAAGAAGATATTTTAAAGACAAAGAAAAAAAATGAACTCATCGTTCCTTCAAAACAATCCATTAGGTGCATAGACTAAAAAAATCCCAAAGATTGAAATAAGTGGAAAAAAAAGTCTCAAAAATCAAAAAGAAGCAAACCAGATGAAGTGACTAGCAATATAAAGGCAGTTTCAATCACACTGACCATCGTTAAACAATGGTCAGCATGTCAGGGAACTTTTTTTTTTGTGTAAGCACATTGTTTTTTAGTTGAAAGAAGGAAACAAACACTACAATCAATGGTTACCAGTTTCCAGCTTTCTTCAAAAATTCGTACTGTTTGTTCTACAGAATAAGGAACATTAAACTGGTTTGGAATAAGTCAAGGGTGAACAAATGATGAATTTTCATTTTTGGGTGAACTATCCCTTTAAGTTAATGGTTAAAAAACTTGTTTTAAAAGACACGTCTGGCTTTGAAGACATGGACCACATTTGAATGATTCCAGTGCTGTAATGGTGATGTAAAGCAAACATGCCAAGCGCACGAACATACTGTGCTAATGTGCTAGCATAGTAAAGCGAGTGCTGCTTTTTCAATTGAACGTCATTTGGAGCAGGCAGGTGTTTTAGTCATCTCGGCTCATCCCTGGAGGAGAATGAGAGTAAACATATCTAGCCGCGTTCAGTCTTTGAAGCTTGACATTTACCTCATCCTCCCGTTTCAGAAACATTAACACTAAACTGTCTTCAAGAGGGTTTGAAGGCTCGGAAAAGCCAACTACCTGACAAGAAGAATTATTTTCGGAGGAAACGGAGAGATAGCGTTTCAAAGCACAGCGTTTGCACCAACAACAGCAGTGATTAAAAGAGTTAAATACTCACATTACCAGAACTGTTGCATCATTACGACCGTTCTGAGTGAAGCGTCATCCAGATTCGGTCAAAGGAAGCGCCGTAAAGTCTCAGGTGTTGTAAAGATAGTTTATTAGATACATAGAGTATATTATTTTTACAGGTCTGTTAAAGATAACACAGACAGGCCGAAACAGGATGGCTACTTGGCCGACCTTCGAGTCCTTCTGTCCCAGGAAAAGTTTGCTCCATATGACTTCACTCTCGGCTTCGGGACCCTCTTTTCAGTTATATCATAACTCCAACCTGTAAAAATAAACAGGCACAGCGCACGCTCAGCCAAGTATATCTACAGGCTGGATTTGAGAGATGTTCACTGTGGGGTGAGGATAAATGCCACAAACACACAACCACTGTTTCCTTTTCGAAGCTCAGTATCCTCTCTCTCTAGAGACATTTTTGCGATAGGAAGATTGCAGTGTTTAAAAAACTTTGGTCACAATAGTGGAAAGAATGTTGAAATGGATTACCATTCTTCTCTGCGAAAGCGATGGCGTCCTCCTTAGTGCTGAATGTGAGCACCATGTTGGACAGTGGATCTGCCCTGCATATGGAACAGAAACATTTTTAGGCATGGGATTTGATTGTGGGAAGTCAGAAAGCTGGTTTATGATTATGTCATCCACTCACGTAGAGGACCAGCCCATCAGAGGGTTTTCCCAGCGCTCCCTGGTGTCAAAGTCTATCTTCCACTTGTGTGTGTTTTTGACGCCCGACTGCATGGCGTTGCGGGCTGGCACAAAGATGCGGACCTTGCGTGTCTTAATATGCTCCTCTGGAACGCCAGTCAGAGTTGAGATGTCCTGACAAAATAAGAATATTTGAAGACATGACCATTTAATGTTCAGCAAAACCTGAGAGTTGATGTTCAGACTCTTAAAATCAAAAATTAGCTTTGCTGTTCTCACATATTTGCACATTTCCCCAAAGGGCATAAAAGCCCAAATACTTTTTTTTTTTGATCACAGACGCGCACTTGTCCAGACAGGCTGATTTGTCACACATTTAAAAAGCATGGAGACAGTGTATTGTGATCTTCAGTTCAATGGCAGAAACCTGGGCTTTCAGGTTTCATACACCCTAAACTTTATCGATTAGGTGAAAAGTACAACACAAACTTTAACTGAACAGCACAACAACAACCTGAGCAGCAGGTGAATCACTCAGGACATCAGTCTACACCACTGACTGAACTGCTTTTTTCAAAAGAAAGACATAATTGGAGTCCAGACACCAATAAAAAAAAATTTAAATAATAATAATAATAATAATAATAATAATAATAAATAAATAAATAAATATATATATATATATAATTTTTTTTTTTAAAGTTTAAATTGTAACAAATGGTTAAATATAATTCAAACGCCACTCAAAAAATGACTTTTGCTGCTTGTTCAAACTACTTATTTAAAGAATAAGAGCTGAAACAACAAACTATTTTCGGGGACAACTTAATTATTTTATGTTCAATGCACTTAAATTTGTATAAACAAACTTCTTGCTGACAAAATGGCTTAACCTTTGTATGAGACATTCTTTAACGATTCTTTTTCCGACTGCATAATTTAAGGAAATAAGGCTGTCGCATGATGACTGAATGACTCAAAACACAAGTACTCAAGACAATTTGTTTACAATTGAAAGATTTAAAGGTACAATGTCAAAGCTAAAATCACAGAATCTGCAATATCATGACAAATCACTAGTAACAAATAAAATAAATAAATAAATAAATAAATATATTAAACAAAAAACACCTCAGTCTGATCATTTACAAACTACACGTATAAGCGGGAGCTTTTAAAATATCTCAAAAAGAAGAAGACCTGCACATTACACTTTAAAGCATTAAAATAAAAACATTATCATTTACTTGTACCAAATTTAAGCAAATAACAAAAAACTAAAGTAATTTTAATATCTTGTGATTTAGAATTTAACCGAAAAATCTGTATTGAGGCCATGATGTGGTGAATGCCTGCACTGTGTTGTTTATTATCTTTTAATTGAACTGTTTTCCAAATTATGTGATTTACATGCAATCCATTTTTGTCTGCTTTCGAACTACTGTACCTTGATCTCTGCTGTCAAATTTTAATGTTGAAATTGTAAGTTTACAGTTTAATAAACGGTCTTGTACTGCAATTTCAGTATTCTGAAGCTACATACCATATAAAAATTTACAGAAAATATATCTTTAAATAAATCCATAAAATATGAACAAGATCTGGCTCGCTACCTGATTTTTCTACTATAACACGACCAACCAAACAATATAAAACTGTCAATAAAAGTCAAATTTTTTTTTTTTTACTTCAAACATTGTCAAGCCTCCACAACACAATTCAAAAGTGTAAATAAACAGAAAAACGCCCAAGCTATGTTAAACAGTTAATTAATGGACCCTTCTTTACAGTGCTAGATCATATCAAGTGCACAACTAAAAACTTCAGCAGTGCTTCTCGTTTATTGTGTGAAAAGAACAAAAGAGGGCTGTTGTGAGAAGGTGATCTGAAAGATATGTGAGAAACATGCTGCATGGTCCCAGACTCAAATGTGCTGCTGCTGAAAGCCAAAGAGAGTCCAATTCCTTTGGGAATTAGCGAGCGGCAACGGGAAGTCGGCAACAACACACAGACAAACCTCCCAGCAAGCAGCCACCCAAGGTTGTGAATCCTACAAGCAGCTCCCCTTTCAATGCAAGAACTTCACACATTTCAATGGCCATTACAACTTCAAAGAATCAAATTTTCATCATTGTCTGTCATCTGCCACTTGATTCATTTAAAAGAGCTTCTTTAGCATGAACTGTGAACAAAAGGCTGCTAAACACTCTGACTTGCACAGTCTTCACGTGACACTCGAGCAGGCTGGGAAGAACATACAGTATCAAACGCTCATTATGAACAGCAGAGAATGGGGGAAAAGATGCCAGATTGTCTAATAACTTTTTTAAATAACAATTTTAAAAAGAAGACTTTCTAATATAGCATATTTTGTGATTTATAGCCATTTTACCTTCATTATTGCCAATCGCATTATGGGAATAGGCATGGGATGATAACCGGTTTCAAGGTTTACCGTGGTCTGGAAAAGTCATGGTTTTAAAACTGCCAACGTTCCTACGTTATATGTAAAGTTGCTTTTTTTACTTGTTTTTTGTGACTATTTTATTTAGTTTTATTTAGGCAACAGTATATTTAGCAAAAAAGGACCCTCCACATCAAAAGCTATACTGTTTCAAAATATTTCAAATGTTTCTTAAAATAAAATATATTGCGTTCGACACAGGAACACAGAAATTTAAAAAGAACATTATGATCTTGTGATATTTACAGTGCGCAGCATATATAACTATACCCCTGACAAATCTATCTTTTATATTCATATTGAATAGGAAGCTTTACAATATTATATTTGTTTAGAATAAACACATTTATGTTATAGAAAAATATTAGATACAAATTTTAAAAAGATGACAAAAATCAAGAGAAGCAAAAAAATTGAAAAGTTTAGTTGAAATTTTGTAGGTTCTATTTTTTTTTTGTTGCCATATTTTGTTTCAATTTAATTGTATTATCTTCAAATTTTTAAATATGCAGAAACTAAAATATTATTTTAATAAATATATATGTTTATTAAATCTGTTTTGTTTAAATGCACCAAAATACATTTACTATATTCCCTCAGAAATGGATAAAAATGTTCATTTTCAAAATGGGGTGTTCTCAATTATGCTAAGCACTGTATATCCAAGGTTATCAAACAGTCACAATCTTTTACCGGCCCATGAACTTTTTTGTTACTTTACAATTTAACAAAATTATTTTAATTACATTTTTAGTCAGTAATCTATATATTGCAAGGGATTTTAAATATGGAAATAATAGCAGCTCATTAACAGTTTTGTACGATCGTTTACATGACCAACACTGACAAGTCACTTTGTTAATTGTTTCAACATCAAAAGATGTTGAGCAGAGATCACCTTTAAAATCACAAACTATGGGAATTGATTAATTAAAGGCTTTTTTTTTTTAACAGAGCACAACTCAGTTAAAATCATTCGCTTTGCTCCACACCAGCAACAACTGAACATAAGTAGAACTTTGTTCATCTTCCTAACTTAGGATCAGAATCAGTCAGCTTGAACAACTAAACGGCACATATCTCAACACAAGTATTAATCTTTTTGCTTAAAATGAGCAGCTTAGAGACTCAAGACTCAGCTGAGCAGAATGACAATTAATCCAAGGAGGCACGAAAGCACCAAAACCCAATGTCTGCAATTAATCTATCACAACACGTATATATTTAGTGGAAAGCTGTCATTATTTGAAGGCTATTTTACATATTAGTTATTTCATACATGGCATCAGACAGAGAAATGTCAAAGATTTATTTACACATACTGAAAATACTGTCCACTGTCCTGCAAGCTAAAAAGAGGAAAAAAAGTAGTCTAGACTTATTCTTGCCTGCATACATTAGGACAACAAAAACTACGAGGGTGATCTAAGCAACAGACGAATGCACAATGGCCAAATAGACAAAGCGAGCGACTGTGCCTTAAATATGGTGCTTCAAGGGGAAAAAAAAAATTAGGCCAGAGAGAGGGACCACAAAGGGAAACACTGCACGTTTCTCCTTGCATGTACAGGAAGCAAAATGAGAACTATGAAGTTTGACACTATTCACAGAGCCCTTCAATACCTGTATGTGCAGACAGAATGCCAGGCTTAAGAGCGAGGGAGAAAAGACTGGCAAAGTCTCCGTCACGTGAAAGCGTGTCTATATTTCTGACACCTCTGGCTCCTCGGTGAATAAAGAGCATGGGAGCCCATTCAGAGGGGCAGACTGTGGGGCCGACTGCTTGAATGAGCCCTGCGTGCAGCTTGGTAGAGCCAAGTGTGGCCGACAAAACCGATACCGAAGTGTAAACAAGAAGGAATTTGCCGTGCGAGTAGTAGTACAAGAAAGGTTTTAAGGTGAGTTGGTGCCACTTTTTAAAATGAAAATGTGTTGTAAACAAATGCAATGAATATAAGACGTTGCTTATGCAAACTATAAATACATAAACTTTGACATTATCAAATGTAAATGTCCTATCAGAAGAGCTTTTTTCAACGCTTTTAATAATTATTGAATTATGGGTATTAGTTTTAATACAATCCAGCAAAAATCTAATAATGACAAGTAGATTTTAAAAATAGGCAGAAAAACAAGTTAACATTTAGAACATATACTGTTATAAAATGTTTAATAGATATTTCAACATTTTATTTTTTAAAAACTAAAAATTGAATGTTTATTTTAAATATTTAATCTTTTTTCTAGATTTTATACAGATAACATTGTTATTTATGTGATTTGCTTTTAGTGTGTGTGAGCGCGTTAAAAACTGTACAATAAATAATGGCACTGCCAAAATAATGTGTTTGATGCTGGGCAAAAATACCACATTTGAACCAATAAAACATTATGCCTTCTATGAAGTGTTCCAATTCTTAAGATGATGAATAATAGGGCTGCACAATATATCGTTTAAGCATCGATATCGCAATGTGTGTGTCCCAAACAGTCATATCGGAGGATATACAGTATAATTTATTAGCACAACCGTTAAGAATATAGTGTCTTTGCAAAGTCTAACCATAACATAATGAAATGTTATCATTTGCACGTGCTTTAAAGGCATTAAAAAGTTTGAAGCATTCAGGCACAAAAAACATTCGTACATTCATAACTTTAAAGGAGAATAGTTTTAGTGATTTACTGCAGTGAAGGCTATACAGTGTTG